CAGTTTAATACATATAAAAACTATGGAAAGCTGGTTTTCTTTTTAGATTAAGGGGACAATATCCTTGACAGGTGTTTCCTGTTTGTTTTTAATTCATATTGCTTGCAGTACTCTAAGCTTTTCAGTCCTCTCTTTCTGACACAAGCTTGGATTATCACCTTCAGAAATACTTATTCTTAAGCTACATGCATCTAAAATTATTAATGCAGCCAAACAAATGATGCATGGTTTATTACGTGCTTGAAAATATTGAAAAAACAGACCTGTAACTGGTGTAATTAAAATGATAGTGAAGATTTAATTATTATCTGTTCAGATTTGAATGATACAGTGAATGGCACCATGGATTTTGACAATCATTAACAACTGTAATGCTGAGGACCATATGAGAGAGAATTTCATGATTCTTGTTATTCTTGTTTCTGGTTGTGTGGACTGTTTTTATTCTTCAGTCGATAATACCTTACTTGATTTTCCATCTTAGATCCTAAAAAAATATAAGTCTCATGACAGAATCTTCAGATGTCTTTAAAAGTCTGCCACAGTATGACTTTTTGCAATGTTTTTAACCATCTTCACACAGTTTGACCCACTGCTGCGTAAATGTACCCATTTGTTTGTAGCGATTTTAATGAAATCAGGTTGAGTGTCCCACGTGTGTTTGCACCTCCTCCTATCCTAGGAGTTCATTTGGAGTGCTGTTACCTGCTTTCTTCGATATCTTATGCCTGTGGCTTTAGTTTGTTAACCCATCCTTAAGAGCCATGCTGTGTCCACGCTGTTGTTCACGTGCTGCTGTTATGTAGGGTTTCTGTTCCTGTCCTTTCCTCCCGCTTTAGCTGTCGTCTTCAGATAATGAGTTTTTCAGAATAAGAACTGCCTTTAAGTGTTTGGAAAACACCTACCACCTTGTAAAGCAGCTTGTAAAACCAGTCAAATAGCAACTTCAGTGTGTATCTAAGTGGAAAAGTAATTTTTAAATGCTTAATCTCTATGTGGATGCATCTTAATGCAATATAACTTCTGGAAACAGAAGAGTCAGCACTTAGTCTGGTCCAAAGCTTATTGAAGTTGAAGGACAGGTTCCCTTTGACTTCAAAGGGCTTTGAATCAGCAAAATCTTAGTGAGCTTTTGGTATTTGTGACCCTCCTGAAACAAACTGGCTAAAATTTAAGCTATTAAATAACTTCATTGCTTTTGAAAATTTTAGCTGAATTTGTCTAAACTTACAAGGATTAAGCACACAGCATATGTTAATTGTCTATAGAGATCTTATGCATTCCTTTCTTCGCTTTCAAGGTATCAAGGGCCTGGGAGCTTGAAGGGAGTGGTGGGTTTTTTTGAGAATTTTAGCTATCGGCAGTATAAGGCCTCTGATTTTTGGTGAATCGATGAGTGCAGAATCTAGTTATTACTTTGGAATCAAAATGCTTTAATGTCTGTCTGCTTTATAGCCAGGGTGTTGTGGACATCTGTGTTTGCTAAGTGGGAAGTGCTCTCCTACCGGCGTTGTGGGAAGGATTGGTCTGATACAGAGAAAGGGAGCCAGAAGCCACTTGTTTAAATCTGATCTTACCTGGATGATTTAAAAACTGTGGAGTTTGTTTTCAGAACTGTGTTATAGAGATCACTTTTAAATGACATTGAGAGCAAAGCGGGAGTTTAAGACTATTGAAGCAAACTGAGTTAATGACAATGAATGTTGGAACATACTTTTTCTGCAGGTTTTAAGGAGAAAAATGTGTACGAAAGGTAAATTTTAGCATAGTTTTCAAGGACTAACTTGTGTTGCTTTTAAAGACAAAAATACCAACTTTTCAGGGTTAGACTGGAGATCATTTGTAAGAAACAGCAGTTCCTTTAATACATTGTCGCTTCCTTCATTTCATATCAGTATAAGGATCGAACAAGTATGTCTCTGCCAGCTTTTCTGGGTTGTATTAGATAGTATTGTATCAGATTGCTTGTCCTCATTCTGTCTGCAGAAGACTAGAATTTGCATTAGTTGCATTCAAGTGTATGCATCTATCTGCCGTGACATTTAAAATATTTGATTTGGGTACAAATTACTCAGAGTAGATAAATTTACAGAATAGAATAGCCAAGCCCGTGGCTCTGTTCTAAAACTCAAAAGTAAAAATAATAGTATAGTCTTCTCACAATTGTTAAGAACTTGGGGGAACATCGAGAGTCTTACTGCATCTAATCGTAGCCACTAGATGTACTAATCAAGTAACTCCATTTTGGATTTAAATTAGATTTACTGTTAAATGGAGAAAAGTATGCATCTGTTATGAATTGGTGAAAATCAGTATCAGACAATTTCCCTTCAATTTTGTTAAACTGAATTCAAATTGATTTTTCTGTGAAATTGCTGCCATTTCAGAGAACCAATGCTAGCTTTGGATTGTGTAGATCATATTTTCAAAGCTCTGTTCATTGAGATCTTGTCTCAAACTACCAAGATTTAGCAGGTTCTGCAACTTTGGCCAGAAGTGAGAATAAAGAAGTCAAAAAGATAGGACATTTCCAAGTCCTAGATACTAGTCACTCCTTCTCCTTTTTTTTTCTTTTTTCTTTTTTTTTTTTTAAATATATGCATCCTTTACACATCTGAATTAGCAAGAATACTGATGCTTTAAGGGAGGAAAACGTGGTTTCGTATCAGTAAGCATCTTTTCCTTTAAAAAAACTGAATTACATTTCAGTAGAGGGAAGCATTCACTCACACGTGGATTCCCACTCCTGATTCCTTTCTACAGTTAAATTCTTTCACAATCAAGCCCTGAACTTAATTCGGAATCTTAGTAAAAATGGTGCTTCGACACTCCATGAAACCCTTCTTTAACAGGAGAAATTTTGTAACTATAGTTAACAAAATATTTGCTTTTATATTGGCTTGAGATTTAGAATGTCTCTCGGATTTTCTAATCCATGTGTCTGTTAATTTATATGTAATATTCTTCAGCAGTAGACCTTCTTTTTGATTAAAAAATTGTGTAGGCTTGAGTATTTGCAAGATCAAAAGCCAGGAACAGCCCGTTTCCATATAAAGGCATCTGTTTTTTCAGTTACTGCCCAAGTGGAAAATTGGAAAGAAATTGTTGTGCTGTCAGGTAGCTTTAGGGCATTACATAGCTAAAAATTGCATGTATCCTTTTTGAGAATAATACACGTAGGAAGATGCAGGTTTCAAAGAACACTATAGGAGAATTGAGCAAAACCACATGTAAAGGATGCGTCCTTCCAATTTTTTTTGAAAACGAGGTGTTTAAGAGAAACATAGCCATCATTTTTTGGAAAAGTTGAAATAAACGCAGAAATAAAGCAGTTTCAAGTAAGGTCTTTAAAGCAGGTCCTGAACAGGAAAAGTAAATGTTCCCCTTGGAACGTTCTCTGAATGCAGTTTCTTAACAATAAGAATATCCTGCTTTTGAGTGAGAGAGAGCAAAATTATTCGTACTAAGGTGTGGCTTTATTGCACATACAGCAACACATTAAAAGGACAGTTTAGAAACTGCTGGCTTAACTGTATCTCCAGCAGTTATATTTTTATTTCCTACATATCTGTACCCGGTACCTGACTATTTCTGCTTATAGTAGCTGTGGTTGTCTAAGATGTTACCCTGTTTTGTAATCCACCACTTTCCCCTTGGATGCAGCTGCTGCTTTGCCAGTGATTGTACTGTTCAGCTCAGACTTTGGGGCTCAAATCCCAAAGGTCTGCTTTTATCCATCCTTATGTGTTACTGTCCTGTGCAATCTTGTCTTGTGATGGTTTAGTCTATGTATGCATTCTCCTATCACCAACAGACCCTTCCAAGTTGTTTGACCGATTTGTTCTCCTTTTTATTATGTAGCATCTAAACAAAGAGTAAGCTACGCAGTTGAAATGTGTATACTTAAAGGGATGATGGCAATATAAAAGTAATCATATTCACAATTTGTTATTAAATGTAGATCTTTAGCGTACTACTTCTTGCATTTCTCTGTTTAAAGGAGGACATTGAGGAAAATCTGGTTTTTTTTTTTTTTTAAATTTGTATGTGAATTAGGCATTTTGGAGCACAAAGAGGCTGATGCAGGAAAAAAATACATGAGCAGCTCAGACTTAAAAGTATGCTGTGCTTGTGTTTAACACTGCCTATGTGACTCTTGGGGGCTATGAGCAGATGAACAAGTTATTGTGAAATAACATCTAGGGTGAATTGTCCATACGGAGTAATGAAGGACAGAATTGTGCTTCTTGTCGTGTAAGGGCAAATGTATGGCACACTGCAAAGTTCATTTACCAGCTTGGACTTGAGGCAACGTGTTTATTGGCCTGGACCCTTGTTTGCTTACTGCTTTCCATGGAGAAAGTGCCTCCTGCTTTGTTCCCAGTTTAGCCTTATTGCCTGACTGTAGAGAAATGTCCATTCTAGCTGTCGTTATCAGGCCCTGGCTATCTATTTCCCTAGGTGGGATCGGGTTTGAGAATTGCGTTTGTGTTTAAGGCTTTTAGTGTTGTCCCCTTCCTCCTTTTGTGAAAAAGGCAAAATATAGAGAAGTTCAGTAACTTCTCATCCATAAACAAATAGGCTGAAAGAGAGAGTAGGTTCCAGCCTCATCGTCCTCAGCGGGTTTGGTGAAAGAGGCTGCAGAGGAGGCGGTGGCAGAGTGCACACTCAATAAGTTTTCATATGACTGTTTGTTATATTGTTAGATTTTAAAATTAGTGATCAAATTAGCTGTTTTATTGTAGTTTTTTTAAAAAACAGATTCTCATTTTCCCTAACAGAAATAAAAATTGCAAAAATGTGTGGGCACCTGCCTCTCAAGACATTCTTTTTCAGTCCAGTAGAGTAATCTTGCTTTAAGGATATTGTTTTAAGGATAACTTGCATATTGACTAAATTTTCTGTAAGCCTTCCTGTGTTTTTATGTGAGGTAATTAAATTTTGTTTTCTGGTGAACTAATTTTTTCTAACTTTTTGCTTTTTAATCTTTTTTTTTTCAGGCTTCCTTAAGCCAGACTTAATATTGATAGAATGAAAAAGTTTAAGAGGAGACTTTCCTTAACCCTGCGTGGAAGCCAGACCATTGATGAATCGCTGTCTGAGCTAGCAGAACAAATGACAATTGAGGAAAATAGCAGCAAAGATAACGGTAAGCATATCTTTCACTTTCCAGAAAATGTAAGAATTTTATCAGGCCCCACTCAAGTGAGTGTTGTTGGGTTTTATTTCAGTTTTCACAATTGCATGGACTTCCTCACTAACCTGTTCTTTTGATTTATCTTACATTTGACTACCCTAGTTCTTTTAACAGGGTCACATGTTGTCACATATTGGTTTACTTTGCTTTGATATTGAACTGTTATACAGCTATTTATCAAAAGCTACCTAAATTGATATTGTGGTGTGCAGCAAGGATCATAGATGCTCTTTCAGTAAATAAACCCGTTATTGTATGAATGTAGTGGGTCTCACATCAACTTCATATGGCTTCAAATTCAATTTTTCTCAAAATCATTATTCGGTAATATGATTGATAGTAGTTGCTTAAGTATTATAAATAAAACTGTTTACCTTATCATTGGTGATGCAGTGCACTAGTCTGAGAATTCTGTCACCTCTTCATGTCTCTGAATAGTACTTCTCTTCAGCAATATGAAGGCAACTGGAAACATTCAGGATAACCAGCTTGTCTCTGTATTCTTACGCAAGTCTTTGGCTGATCCCATAAACGTACTGACTGCTATAAAGTCCACATTAATGATGATACCGCTTTTGAATGCCATCTGCAGTAATAATGACTAGAAGAGATTTTGTTGCTTTTTTCTGTTTCCTGGGCTGCAGCATTTAAGTCATATTTCATCTTCTATGCTGACTAGTGTTATTTCTTGCTCTGCTGACATCTAAAATTTTCTCAAGTATCAAATGATCTGAAATTTATTTTTTTTCTCCCACTTCACACCAATAAATGATTCTGAATTTTTCCATTGAAAACTGACAGGGCTGGGAAATTTGAGCAGAATTAGAGGCAATGGAATTTGCCCTGTAGACTTTTAAAACCCCATCCCAGATCTGTTGCATACCAAGCTTTTGAAAGCTGAATTTACCTTTGACAAAACAAAGCTATTCATATTTTTCATTTTTACCCTTAATCCCTGATATATACATTGCTGTTGTTCTGTCTTCATCATAAGCCATGTCCGATAGTTTGGAAAATGATGTTTATCACAACTTTTGATGTGTTGATACAACAGGTCTACTCTGAAACAATAAATTTAGTATTTTGCACTGATACCTACTAAGTACTTTTTGAGACACTGAGCAGTTGTCCCACATGGTTTCACTTGTATTAGCCTTTGTTACTGATGCGTATTTTGTTCGTACCTGTATATACTTCCGACAGATTGATTTCATTATGCAAATAAATGCTAAGAATATTACTTTCATGCTGGGAAATGAGCGTGAAAAATTGTTATCAGCCTCAGTGAATGTAGTGAACTGGGTGCTTGAATTGATTCAGTTGAAAACTGGATCTGGGAAGAATAAAAAGATTTTACTTTGATCTGGACCATGTTCTGAGTGCCAGCTCAAGGGATAGAGGACACAATAACTTGTTTACAGAAGCATGAGCTTACTCCATCTTAAACCATGTATGAATCTATTGCAGTTTGTAATATTTATCTGCGGACTATCTCAAACAGCAATACTTAGATGTCTTCTGCATGCTTGTCGCCAAACTTAACTTCTCAGTAGATATTTAAAGTGGCAAAAATACAAATCAAGAAAATGTTTCTAATTACAAATTCATTATTTAGCTTTTAGTGTTCCTTTTATTTTGCTTTCCACATTATTTCATTGGCCAAAAGGAAGCTTATATGCTAATGTTGTGCGATACAATACATGTTATGCTTACAACTGCAAAATGTTTTTAATGCCTTAGTAGAGTATCTTTGGATACACCGAAGTGTTGCTGATCCTCTTGAAAGAGGAAGAATAATAAATATAAACTATACTGTTGCTATGCGTAATCTTTAACTCATCATTTTATGTCATTTAAAAAAGTTTTACTGACACTTGCTTCCTTTTTCTGATACTTCTAGAATGCAGATAATAGTATCTGTCCTATCTTTGATCTCGCAGAGATGAACAGGATACTACTTTGTGGATTTTTGTTTTCCTTTGTTTTTCCTTTCCTTTCCAACCCTACTTTTCTTAGAAAGTAGGGTTGGAAAAATGCTTGCCACACCAGCTAGTCCTGCTTTTCTAAAGGAAGCTCTAACTTTCCCACAGATCAAGATATTTTGCAAGGAGTAGTTTTCAGACAGACCGTAGGAATCAGGGTTTGGGCAACAACAGTTGCTGGAAAAAACAGTAAGGAAATGAGTTCTATCTTTTAGTGAAAGACAAGCTTGGTAGAGAACATAGCCTGGAAAAAATCCTTGAGTGGACATTATTTTTAAAAATTGCTTACAGAGGAGTGCTTAAATAAGAAAGGTTTGCCTTGGCGTCTTATAAAATCAGAGTGCTAAGAAGCCTGTACTAACTGTAAATATCCAGCTGGGACACACGAGAGGATGTAGTCTCTTGAAGAATAGTTTATCAAGTGATAGCAGCTTTAAGATCTTGAAAGTGCATCTTTTACTGCGATGGTGGTGATCTCAGAAGGCAGGAGTAACCATCTCCCTAATTTTGCTTTTAAGAAGAATAAACAGCTCCTTTACCCTATGGAACAGAGAAACACAAATGTGCCCAGTTTGCAGGCTTTGTATCTGTTCTTAAAGGAACTTAAAAAGCACAGTCTAGTAAATCAGAGGCAAGCCAATATCTTGATCTACAGAGAATCAAAGTCAGGCGTACAAGCAGTCTTCAGAAAGTGATTCTTCATATGTGGTTTATTTTCGGTCATATTACATCATGAACTTGAGAAATGAGAGTTCAAGGGCGTTGCAACTGTTCTTCTCATGCCAGAAGGCAAGGATAGACTCTGAACACTGAAGGTTTTTACAGCAGAATTTTCTTCCATTTTTGTTGTTCAGCTTTGTTTTGTTTTATTTTTTTCTTCCTAGTGAATCACCCGTCTTGTCTCCTGTCATTCCATTCTGATGGCCATGTTTGCTGAAGGATACAATTTTATACATGCTAGCTTTTTTCCTTCCTGGAAAACAGCTGTGTTACTGGACCTTAGAGGTTGTAGAGGCTACATCCATAGAAAACCACAGGACCTAGGATCCACGCTCATCTGTATCCGATTTTCACATACATGTCCTGTCAAATCGTTATAATAAAGTTCCAGTTTAGCACTGCAATTCCAGATGTAGATCACATGCTCGTAGTACCAGGGACCTTTCCTCATGGTCATCCTTTTGCAATAACCTGTCTTGTTCAGCCCCCTGGCAAATGTTTCCTCTCCCAGAACAATTGCCTCTGATTTCAAATAACTGCTGCTCCAATCCAGAGGCCCACTTTGTTATTAGTTCCAGCTTTGAGTGGGTGGTTTGAAGATCTACTTTTAAAGAACAGTACTCCTGATGCAGAACAAATTGTCCCATTTGCAGTTCACAGACATAAAAATAGATACGTAACTTTTAATTTCTTCGCAGTGCATTGATACCACTGAATCAGCTAACCTTTTGTATGCAATCTCATTTCATACACAGCCTCCTTCATCGCGTGATGTCAGTACAATCTCAGCATGCAGCACTCATCCATCAGCAGCAAAATGAGATTAGCAGTGATCAACCCATATTGTTTGAAGCAGTAGCACAGAGCTATTGCACTGAATGTAGAATAACCAACAGTTTTGCTTTTGCTTTGGGGTTTTTTTGGAACACCATCAAATTATTTAGTGACCAGAAACCTATATATAATTAAATCTGCCTTACAAATTATGTTCATCGTAATTGGCTTCTGAGTGAGGAAGCATCGCAAATCAGATGCATAAACCATAAAAATAGAGGGACCAGTGAAATGCCTAATATACATCTGAAGCCTTATGAACTGTGGACTGTATGAAGTATACTTTGGGCTATTCTCTTATCTGAGTACAGAAGCTTTTCATGGTCTCTGTTTCAACATATAAAACCAGTTAGTTGGATTTGTTGTTTATTTTTCATTCTGTCTCAATTCAAGCACACTAACAATGTGCCGGCTTGCTTTTTTAATTCTAGGTTCTACCTTAATATATGTATCCAGATTAATATTAAAAATACTAAATGGTAATTTGTAGCAGTTGACAACTAAATTTGCTCCTGAAATTTTTACTTGCGAATGACATATTAATGAAATTTGGCTAGAAGTAACATCCAAATCATGCATATTTAAAGCTCAATTAACTGTAAAATTTATGCAAATACTTTAAATACATATGAATATGCTCTCTAATGAAAATGAAAAATGTGGCCATATTGTCTAATATTATAAAACACATTATCACAAGCTTCAAGCATGCTTTTAAGAATAATTACAAGATACGTTCAAAAATATGTCCACAGCTCTTGCATTAATGTGTAAGTAACTTGGAAAGCCATTCTATATTGCCAGGTTTTATTTTTGTATATAGATATATACACACATATATACTAAACCAAAACAAGCGAAGTTCTCATAGAAATGGCTTCATTAATTTCTAGAGTAATATTTATCTCCATTTGGTCTGTTTTAGCTCAGTGATGTGATCATAGGACCCAGTCTCACAAACACTTGCATAATTTTTTTGTAATTTTACAGGTGTGAGTAATAATGGAAGGATCAACTACAGTAAAGTGCGTAAGTGTTTTTTAGGTTTAAGGCCTTAATGGCTAGTTACTACTCTGATAAGAGGAATGAATGTTTATAAAAATTGACACATTGCAATACTGTCTCAGAACATTCAAATGTCTTTGTAGTTGTAGTCATTTCATATCATCTTCAGTACAGCTGAGAAACTCCCATTCCATCTGCTATGTGTGATTCCTTGAGTATAGAAAGAAAACAGTGTGTTGCAACATCTTTTCAGGACAGTATTCTTGAATTGAAAATATGAGCATAGAAATACTTACTGGTAATAAATCAGTACAGTTTCTCTGTTGATACTGGAGCAAAGTATAGATATAAAAGTATGGGGGAGTGGGGGGAAGAAATCCCCAGAAGTGATAGAGCTCATTCTAGAGCTAC